GCGGGACGAGACGGGAGTAGACTGGGGGAGGGGGAAAGGAACTGATTAAAGGAGGGAGACTGAGGGGGAAGGGGGGGGGGTGCGAAAGACAAAAAAGGTGGGGTAGGGGGGAAGTAGAGGGGGAGAGTGGAAACACCCCGGGCGGGTAAGCCTGTGGTAATTCCTATTAGAATATTGGCTCGTTCACCTTGGTTTTCACCTCATACCTTTTACTTACGAAAATTGCCATTTTTAACCCTCGGCACGCATGCGCAGCGAGGGTTACAGTACTTGGTTCATAAGTGTTGTTCTACCTGTCCGTCGTCCGTCTGGCTGTCGTCGAGTCACCACGTTTCTGCCCACCCTGAGCAGACAGGACAGAAAACTGGCAAAGAGCGGTAGTAACGGGTTCAGCTTTCAGCAGCGACACTGGCTAGTTTTAAAAAGGTGATTGTCATACACTACTGCATGTCGAAATTATGGCGTGAAGCAGTGGAACAAGCCAACATGCAAATTAGCACAGGCTTATCTCGACTGAGTCCGCTCGCTCTGTGTACCTTGGAGGCACAAGAAGTCACAGCGAATAGTGTGTATCGACTCCCGCATGCTACTACTGTAGCTAGCACGTGTCAGACTCTCCACGAGCAACTTAGCGGGAGACCACAAGTAAACGCCCAGCTTATCAATTAGCGGTCATTTATAGGGTATGATATATTGGCCAGTAGTAGCACCCACTTAGCTGTACTACAACAAACAGCAGAGGGCTGAGCTACTTCCTAATCAACACCCACTTTGCTTTCCTTATAGGGAATTCAGGCATTGTGCTGGAGAAACATATACCAAGTAGGTTTGATGATGGCAAGTACCATATTTCCTCGAATAAACGCCGCACTTCGAATAGTAGCCGCCCTCGAATAGACGCCGCACGTAACGTCCGCGCGGTGTAATAGTGGCGCCCTCGAATAGTAGCCGTATTTAATATTCATAGAGAAAATGCGCATGCGTACAATCACGTGACCGCCAAACCGTTAGGCGCCTATATAATATAATAGGTGCGAAATTGGAAGCTAGCAGCAGCCAGCTGCGTGCATGAGATGGCAGAGGCTACAGCCAGCCAGAAGCCTATGCTACAGCCGGCCTCTCGGGAGAAGGCGTGGCTCCGCAAAGCTAGAAGCGCGCGCCCTGCTCTGCGAAATAAACGCCGCCCTCGAATAGGCGCCGCGGGTCAGTGGCGCTGAAAAAAATAGTAGCCGCGGCTACTGATCGAGGAAATACGGTATGCTCTATTCGCGCTGCTCGCTCATAGAGCATACTTGCCATCATCAAACCCATAACGCAGTATGGACACAAATTAGTTATATAACGACAATATTGCAAAACCACCAGATCTGTGATGTCCCTCGCAACTGAGTACATAAGAAATAAACAAAACTAATTATCACTAACAGCAGAAACAAGAAAAAGAAAAAAAAAAAAAAAAAAAAAACAAAAAAAAAAAAAAAAAAAAAAAAAAAAAAAAAAAAAAAAAAAAAAAAAAGAAAGAAAAAAAAAAAAAAAAAAAAAAAAAAAAAAAAAAAAAACAAAAAAACAAAAAAAGAAAAAAGAAAAAAAAAAACAAAAAGAAAAAATAAAAAAACAAAAAAAAAAAAAGAAAAAAAAAAAAAGAAAAAAAAAAAGAAAAAAGAAAAAAAAAAAACAAAAAACACAATAAGAAAAAAAAAAAAAAGACAAAACAAAAATAAAAAAAAAAAAAAAAAAAATAAAAAAAAAACAACAACCAAAAAAAATACAAAAACAAAAAAAAAAAAAAAACTCACGCACACAAAAAAGAAATAAAAAACCAAAAGAAAAAAAGAAAAGTACCACAAAATCAAAACAACAACCGACACAGAACAACCAAAGCCCAGCCAAAAACAAAAAACAAAAAAAAACACAACACATCGCCCACCACACCCAACCACAACAACCCACCCGCCACAAATCTCAACCCCGGAACACAAAAACCACCAAAAACAACCCAACGAAAATCCACCCCAAACCCCCCGCAAACCATCCACACAAGAAACACAAAAACACCAACCGCACCCCCTCATAACCCCCAAGCACCAACCCACTAAAAAAGACGACCCCAAACACCCCACACCCAGCCCCAACACACAACACCCCCCCCCACCTCCCCCCCCCCCACCCCACGCTCATACACCCACACGTCCTCCAACACCCTCAAACCCGGCACCCACCTCCACCCCCCACCCAGCACACAGCACCCCCCTCACCCACCGCCCCCACACCACACCTCACCCCCCCAGCTCCCCGCCTCAACCCACCCCCACCCGCCCCCCCCCCACCCACCCACCCCCCCACGCCCCCCCACCCTCACCCCCTCACACCCCCCTCCCCCCCTCCGCCCGCGCCCCCCCCCCCCCCACACACCCCCCGCCCCCCCCCTCCAGCCCCCCGCCAACTCCCCCCCCACCCCCCCCCCCCCCACCCGCACCCCCCCTACCAACCAACCAAAAAAAAAAAAAAAAAAAAAAAAAAAAAAAAATTAAGTCGAAAAGGTTTCGCGAACTTAGGCCACCGGCATGGGTAACATGTTAAAATTTTGATGATTTCACTGCTAGCTATACAGTACCAGCTGCGTGTATGCATTACACAGTAGGAGAATTCAGGCCGCTGTCTGATTTACTATCCAATGTCGAACAAACCATTTTGTATCATGCATAGTATATGGGAATGACACCAAAAAGAGTGCGGCAAACTTTATGATTTCACTGTTCAAGGAAACATTCAGGCTTTATATGGTATACAAAATTACTGTAGAGCATAAAATACGAGGGACAAAACTGTCGTGTTTAGTAACGGATTGCTGGTCCCACAATACAAATTTCCCCGCTTACAAAAGAAAACTTGTGGACAGCTAATAAACAGCGAATATCTTCCCTCTAAGGTTTCCTGTTAGACAGTATTACCATTTCTTTCCAGCACAAGTGTGCGAGTCTCCTCATTACTTTCACAGCTCACACTATTCACATCACTAGTATTAAACCACAAATATGACACAAAGGTTGTTTGAGATGAACTGTTTCCAACTACCACACTCTGTAATAAAAAATTGAGAGGTTCTTCTGGGAATATATCAGAGGGTTTGAAAGTTGGACCAAGACGAAGTTTTTCAATGTCATTTACTCTCCAAACAAGACGATCAGAACTCGTAACATCACAACGAAAGTAGTAATAGGTTTCTGGACAATAGTAGAGGACATTCTTAGGCGTATTTTCTTCTGACGCAACACTAAGAAGAACAGTACCTACATAGGTCAAAACACAACAAATCCGATTAAAGACATGGGTAATTAACAAGCCAGTAACACGTTGAGTGTTGATCACCTGATACATTCTATAATCATGCACAATGATCAACAAGCGCCTGGATATGTGCAACACAAACTGACTTGGTTTTGGCCCAAAACAAACTTCTACACATGGTCATGGGGTATGCTACGTATGTTACATTTCCGTAATAGCCAGACACAGTAACTAAGCACTTGTGCTGTGTTGGTTTGGAAGAGAGATGCTACCTACTACTGCGGTAGAACCAGCCTGTGAATGTCTAAATTTGATTGGACTGGACCATGTGAAAATTTGTCAGATTGCCATATTCATGCAAAACAGAGGACTTTGTCAGCAAAGTACTTTTCTTTCCCCTTTCTCCAGACTATTCTATATAGCAATGCCTTGCACCATTAACAAGGAGATTTGTTAGAAACAGGACGACAATTGGTTGGATAGTTGGGGTCATGATAAAATATCGCAAATAAGATACTAAAAAACACACAGTCAAACCTTTCACAAGGTAGACATTCAGAAGCATTACAATCAACTTCAACATTCTTTCTTTAGCCAATTGGGAGAAATCGATTTCAATAATGTACTGTGGAAATTGCAGAAAGAAGTGGTAAGACCAGCAGGTATACATTAAATAACCCTCGGCGCGCATGCGCAGTGAGGGTTACGGTACTTGGTCCGTAAGTGTGTCTGTCTGTTACCACGTTTTCTGCCACCACATGCAAAGAGACAATGAAAGAGCGATACCAAAAGGTTCAGCACTACACCGGCTTGATATAAAATTGGCGATTTTCGTAAAAGCAATGCGTTCGAGAGTTATGGTGTGAAAACCAAGCTAACAAACCAATATGCTAGTATTGGCTTATCTCCACCGGATTATATCGCTGTTCGTGCACTGCATAGCCAGGCATTCCATCAATGGAAGACAAGTGTAGAGCGCAGCGAAATCTAAACGCTAGTTTAGCTAGCGAAAGATAAAAGATAAATCTAAATGCTAAGTATAGCTAGCTGAGCGGGTATCCCGACTGCACAAACCGCAGGTGATTATACCGATCCCTGCGCATTTGTGATTCATATGCGTAGACACTGAGCTCAGTGTGGCTTCATTCGTCGTCCCGTGGAAAGCTACCCATACAATGGATGCCAACTCTTAGCAAAGGTCTGGGTTAGCGCAGATGAACGCTAGCCTCGCACGCGTTTTACAGAGCCTTTTTCCTTCAGCCCTTCAGAGTACACGCGCACACACACGCATTAGCTAACAGCCCTTGTTCCCACAAGTAGTCACAACGAAGGGCGTGTATCGACTCCCGCATGCTACCTACTACTGTAGCTAGCGAGTGTCAGACTCTCCGAAAGCTACCAGCGACAGACCACGGCGGGTAAACGCATACTAATAGCCCAGCCCATGAATTAGCGGTACCGCCCATGCGCAGTTCGCCGGTGATCTACCAACCCCGCCCCCAGCAGGCTAATTGCTAAAACCAACTTCCGGTATGCAAAGATATGGTGTCCAACCTACTTCACTGGGCCGTTTTCTGGCCTGCCACCGGGCGCAATGTGCCTGGCCTCAGGCACCTCGCCAGTTCGCAATGCAAACATCTTTCCACTTTCGCCGATAGCGAAGTTTCACCATCTGCGTTCCAGCCACAGTAGCGAGTAACAAACAGTCAAATAGGCACGCGAACAGAACGTTAGGCATCATAAGACGCTCGGATTTGACATATATTAGGTATGGTACACACATCCTATACACATATAGATACTGCTGTAAAGTTTAGTAAAGTTTCGAAACGGCCATAGCTAGCTATAATATGTGGCTCACACCGAAATAGTATGAATGGCTCACCTGTTCACAGACTCAGAGTCGTTTGTACTGAAAGGAGTTATCAAAGCGAGCAGCACCCCCTCGCTATTGAAGCCGAGAAGGACCATTCCATACTTCCGTTCTACACGAACTTCCATTCTTCCATCCTGCCATTCTTCCATTCTTTTATCCACACAGTGCAGAGCTAGAGTACGAGTATCGCGCCTGCGTGCAGACGCAACGATTGCGCTTGCGCCCACCTGCAACTGTCGTGTCGGGACCCTCTCCCGTATAAATCTTATCAAGGAAAGATTCTATTTTTTGGCAAAGAGTCTGGGAGGAGGCAGGTTGCCCATGTTCTGGTGTTTTGTCCAATATTTTAAAATCCTCAAAAAAGAGATTCAAAATACGAAGTTCGCCGACTAAGACGTAGGAAACACCATCTACTTCAAAATCAATTTGGCCACTCGTTTCTAAGAAGCATAAAGACAGTTTCTGGCTTGCTGTGAAGCGTCTAAAAAACACTGGATCCTCGAGTACTGCTCCCATTGTTGCCATTGCAAATATGTTTGGTTCAATGTTTCGATCATTGTTAAGAAGGAAGACAGACAATATTAACACCGTCAATGAAGGAGGAGTGGATTCCGCGCTATACACGCTGCCACACCTCGATGCGCGATCTAGCCAGCGAGAGAGCTCTCCTCCATTCGACGGATTTCGCTGCGCTCTTTAGCGCCAGACTGAAACTGTACCTCTTTCCAATGTTCGTGCTTTCAAGGTGCAAATTGTAACTAGGCTATGATGGCTCGTGCAGATAAAGTCATTGTGTGCTCCCGCTCGCCAAAAATGCCCTGCATTCGCCTACTAGAAACATCCGACAGTTGCCATTCCAATAAAGTTCAAAGTGCATGGGACAAGGAGAATATGCTATACTATTACTATATATAACATGACTGAAGAAGGTGTGGTCCACTGTCGTCAAAGAGTCGAGTAGAGTGCTCCAGGAGTTGTCACTTTTTTGTGTGGTTGGTGATCACATGTTCGGCCAGGGTTGGTTTGTCCAGATCAGCTGTATCGGCACAGAGGACATTGAATGATCAGGAGGTATCGCACCAACTTCACAGGAGAAGTTCTTACCACAACAGTCTCCCAAAGAGATTTGCAGAAGAGAGTCCTCACCGCCGACAAAGAGTTCCGACTAAGGGATTTTCGTAGCCATCAGTCCCTTAAACACATCGCCGCTGTTCCCGAGCTGTCATGGCTCAAGATATGGGACATGGCTCTAGATCATGAGGCAAGAGGGACAAAGGCTGCTTTGTCCTTTTTCAAAGCTCTCTCTCGGCCATTATTCGGCGACAGACTCTGTCCACACTGTAATCTATCAATCGAACAAGATCGAACTTACCTGGAACATCTGGTACAGACCCACCAAGTACTGCATTTGGGATCTGTGGAGGAAATAACTGATATCCTTGTATCTGCCTCCCCATCTATCATTTGTATTGGGAGAAGATTGCTGCCTTCATCCATACCTCCCCCCTAAATGCGTGTGTGTATATATTATATATTATATTTTTTCCTTTTCGTCATGTTCCCCTGTATGTCTATATATCTCCTCTGGAGCTCATGAACTTTTGAACATTTTTTGAACTTTGAACTTTGTGCGAATGCGCATTCAAGCTCTGCGCAATGGAAGGATGGAAGGAGGGAAAGATGGAAGGATGGAAGTTCGCGTAGAACGGAAGTATAGAATGGCCCCAATGGGCTTCCGTATGATGGCCTTTCTCGGCTTCCGTACAATGCTATGGGGGTTCTGCAGCTACCGATCAACCGCGCGCGCATACCATCTGTCAGTTTCCAGTCTCCAGTGTATGGTGGAGAATGTGTGGACTATTATGTGGTCATTGCCGTCAGTGAAGAGAGGAATGTCTCATGTATTGTCACCAGTGATGCTAGTGAAAACAACTGCAGTATTGATCTGGGTGATGGCAATGTGAATGACTTCAACTTCACTGTACATGCTGTGACTCGTGTCAATGATAGTTTTGTCTACAATGAAGACATTGCCACTGATTGCCGTAAGCATCTGAGTCAAATTTGTGAGTTAATGACAGTGTCTTCTTTTACAGGTCTGCCATTTCCAGAGAGTAACAGCTGTTGAAGAGGAATGTGGTCGTATTAATGTCACCTGGAAGGTAGTTAATGATAACAGAAGTATAATTATACAGGCATGACTATTAATTATCATACTCAGAGCAGCCATAACATGACATCAGTTAACACAACCATCAGTTGGCGTGGGGTCCACAGCAGTGGAGCCAGGCACTATGAGAGAGGTAGTTCTGAAGACTCTCATCTACTGACATTAGACTACTCTGAGACTGGACCAGTGGAAATTGCTGTGACATTCTCTAGTGCTGTCTGTAACAAAACCACTGCTATTACACGTAAGACTTAGTACGTTACAAAGTGTCAATAATGACCCTACTCCATAATATATAGTTAACAGAGAAAGCTGTCTAACTGCAAGTGAAACAACTCCAACCTCAACCCCTGGTTAGTCTTAAGTCATAGAGTGACAGAGTGTGATGTGAGATTGTGTACATAATAGGTGATGTAGGTGTGACTGAGGCTGTTAAACCAACTGCAGATTCAGATGTCATGTACACAGCAATCGGAGTAGGGGTTGGTGCGGCACTTCTGGTGGTGGTGACTACTACAGTAGTAGTTCTGTGGTGTCTTGTGAAGAAAAACAGGTCTAAAAGGGGTACGTATGTACAATGTATACATGGACTACAAGTGGGGTGATGTTGGTTCTGCAGTTTCCTCCAGCAGCTGTGGTGATGAACTGAAAATTCTTGGGTGAGTCACTGCACTGTCACTGTTTTCATAACATCAAGTTTTTCCTGGATCTCCATTATGTCTCTGCCACCTCACTTCCTTCCTCCATGTGTGGTCCCAGTTCTCAAACCAGTAAAGGGTGTGGTGATCCACCAGAGACCCCAGCCCCAACAGCACCTGAGACTAAGACAGATGACACTCTTCCTGATGTCCTCCCTCCTCTCTATGATGACATCAATACCCTCACTAGAGAGGTGTTTCTCTTTCAGCTCTCTTTTGTGCATCTAATGGAGCTTTATGTCCACATGGTATATAACTCACAGCTAATGTACT